TCCCCACACTCCATTTGCTGCTACGTCCAAGCGAGCCTGGTCGTCGCGGATGGCGGTGCGATAGCGCAGCTGCTCCCCACTCAGGGGCTCCAGATGAGGCTCTACAGATACGTTGGTGGCAACACGCTTCAAGAAACCAGCGGTCACATCGCGGATCTCGTTATGCCTGATGGTAGGGTAACCGCCGGTGGAGCACGAGAGGGCATGGGCCACAGTAAACTGGCTTCCACAAACGCACCCTGATGGCATGCGCTGTGGTTGCCAGTTGTACCTTAGGTGCACTCCATCGCGAAACTCCGCTTTGGAGAGGGCAAATCCATGGCGCTTCAAGGGCCTGCAGGTCAGCCAACTGGAACTTCTCGGAGCCCTTCTCCGCAGCCAGGTCGATTACACGCTGCTTGGCCTCCGGCACACTGGAGCGGAGCAGCAGGGCTTGGCCTTTGACAGCATTCCGTGCTGTTATCCTCACCTCCGCCTTGGCAGTACGAACGAGACTGGTTGCAGAGCCGAGCGCCATAGTCTGCAGCTTGATGTTGGTCTGCAAGGACTCAGTCACCCTTCGCGATGCATCATACTGGGATGCGAGATCCACGGGATTGCCCAGCCCGAGCCCTCCGTGACGACATGGAAGCGCAAGAATTGACCTTTCCTCCGAGTTGACAATATGGCCGGTAAGAGCGGGGATGAGCCTCTCCATTAGCAGCTTCTCCACAGGCGTCAGAGCAGCTGCAGCTGTTGGTGTGGTGCGGCAGAGGAAAGACCACTTATTCTGCAGGCCTTGGGTGAGTGCAGCGTATGCAGCTTGTGGTTGCGTTTCCGCATACGAGGACAACTTCTCCACGAGGTTGAGCCATCTTGTTGCCTTCTGCTCAACAAAGCTATCCAGGAACGCAGGCGTACCAATAGCCGAACCCAGGTACCGGCAACCATCGACGCGGATGTCAACTCCAGTGTCGGCGAACATCTCCACTGCTCGATCATAATGCTCCGGTTTAACCAGGAGAACCGACTTGGACGGGTTGAGCCAGTATAATCTCGAAGGGGCGTGTGATGTATATGCATACTACGCTCGCGCTCCTGTCTTTGTGCTGCATGCTCGCGCACACATGTTGTGATGTCATGCGTACGCTATAATACTGATTGGATGCATGCATGCCCACCAGCTGTGATTTGAGCTGTTCTCAGTCTTCTTGTTGTTCTTGAGCTTGAGTCTCCACATTTAGTTTCGTCTCTACTCTTGTCATTCATATTCTAGGAAGTAGCAATAATAATTCAGAACCTATAACCAGTCTTTAGATTCATATCAGAATACAAGACCGTCCTCAATTATAAGGCCGGGTTAGGACGATTTCAAATTTGGACTTCACGGAGAATTTCAAAGTTTTAGGAAATTAGAGGCCACATGCCACGTACTGCTCTTTTCTCTCCGAAACTCAACACTTGCAAGCCAGATATGAAAGAAAGAAAAAATCATCAGTCACACCACCGGGACTCGAACCAGGGACCTTGCTATTCGCGAGCAATGGTATCAAGCGAATGGCCGGGGGCCCTCTTGATTGATGTGAGTTGCCAGTATGTTGCAAGCCAGATGTGGATCGATCGAAGAAGGATAGATCTACCATCACTTTGGATAAGAGTCATACTGTAGCTCAGTTGGTTAGAGCATTGCTCGCGAATAGCAACGTCCCTGGTTCGAGTCCCGGTGGTGTGACTGATGATTTTTTTCTTTCTTTCATATCTGGCTTGCAAGTGTTGAGTTTCGGAGAGAAAAGAGCAGTGCGTGGCATGTGGCCTCTAATTTCCTAAAACTTTGAAATTCTCCATGAAGTCCAAATTTGAAATTGCAATTTGTATTTGCTCGCAGTGGACATAGTTTGATGCGCTCCCCATGATATCAAGGGAATGGCCGAGGGCCCTCGTGATTGGTGTGAGTTGCCAGTATGTTGCAAGCCAGATGTGGATCGATCGAAGAAGGATAGATTTACCATCACTGTGGATAAGAGTCATACGTAGCTCAGTTGGTTAGAGCATTGCTCGCGAATAGCAACGTCCCTGGTTCGAGTCCCGGTGGTGTGACTGATGATTTTTTCTTTCTTTCATATCTGGCTTGCAAGTGTTGAGTTTCGGAGAGAAATTGGGTTAGGACGAGTTTGACAAAACAGTAGACCGGCCTACTATTTGCGGAAATACGGTAATAACAATAGTTACAGTTCGCATGTCACTCATGGAAGGGTCCATGGGCCTAACCAAGAGTACATAACCCCGGGGTTATGTACTCTTGGCCTAACGCATCTGTCAATGAAATCCAGCAGGCAGAAGAGCATACAAAAGCAAGTAGATACTGCATGTACTTCAGAAGTAGTCACATGACTTTACTAGTAAGTTAATGATCGTGTTCGGTCCGGAAGGGAATTCACGATGGCCGCTAACACCCAGTAAACCCTAGCGGCAGATGCATCGCCAAACGCCGGTAACGGCGGGAGTGAGTGGATCTCACAATCACTGGCACGAGTGCCAGTGAATTTCAATTGACTGACTGACTCACGACTGCCATCCAGAGCACACGAGAAGTCCATCGAACCGTCCACTCAGCAAACCTGCAAGAAAGCTTCACTCCCTGCTGTTTCGGGGAATTCACTCCTCATCAGTTGAGCTTGAGTAGGCTGAGGAAGATTGTGCCTGAAGAGCACCACTTGTACTAAGTTATAATTATAGTGCTCTCCAGGCACAAACACCACCATGGGTACAAACGTACAGAGACGCTCCGTTTCCAGCGCGACAGACACCTCGTGAACACCAGATGGCAGCGTGAGTCAGGTTGCTCTTGGAGGTGCTGAACAAGCCCTGATGACCGTTGGCCATTCACAACGTTATTGCCTCCAAACCATCTAATTCGCAAGCCCGCGCTGGGGACAACAATGTGAAGAAGAGGTTGGTGCGACTTCGGCGATACTTGGCGAAATGTGTGTTGCTCCTCCGCGTGCTGCCACATCCAGACGAGCATGAACCTCCGTGTTGGCCGACCGGAGAGGGAATGTTTCACCAGTGGCAGAGAGGGGTTCCAAGTTAGTTCCAACTCTGGCTCCACGCTGACGTCATGCACAACCTCACGCAACAGATTAGCGGTGAGATCTCGGAGCTCGTTGTCACTTGTGGCGCATCCCAGTGAATCCTCCGATGGCACATGACAGGGCATGGGTGGTGTCTAACTTAAGGGCTTTCTGCAAGTGCAGTGAGACGGCAACCGGGGAGGGGTCCAACCGTAGCGCAGACATACTCACATAGGGCATCCCGGAAGTCAGCCTTGTGGATGGTGAACTGGAACCTGCGAGATGGCCGACTAGTGAGCCAACTGGAGGCATCTTTCTCTGCGGCTAGATCAAGAGTCCGTCTGAGGTCGTCACTCAGGGTATCCCTGAGGGAGGAGAGGGCCATTGCCTAATCTTGGCGATTAGCCGTGCGTTGGGCCGCCTTGGCTTCCTTGGTGGCTGCAACAACTTCCTCCATGGATTCCTCCTGTCGAAGGAGCTGCTCGACGAGAGGTCTGGTGACAGACGTAGAATTAGAATTCCCAAACCACCATGAGGCATGACGACAGGGGAGCGCGTGCAGTGTGCATATGTATTATGACTATACATGTACATGTATGTCCGTTCATGTGAACGCGTGGTCGAAAGATACTGTACTGAGACAGTGGCGATCTCAGCTTTTCTTTTCCTTAATTCAAGTGTTGCTGCGCACGAGGTCAACTACTTTCTCCTTTTGATTCTTTCAGGTTCGGTTGTGAACATGGCAGGCGGAACGGTTTCTACCAGTTTCGAAGTGATAAATCCATTCTACAGTCCATTTCAAAACTATAGACGCGTACCTAGGCAAAAACCGTTATGCCAGCATCTATACCACATAAAATCTGTGATCACTTTGTGCATAAAATTTTCCAAATTGGGCGTCTGTTATCCAATCCTTTAGAAACTATATGAGAGTAATTGTGGAGCGATCCTGAGCAATATTCCGAAAACTATTCTCAAAATTTTCCAGCCAAATTTGAAATATTTCAAAAACCCTACGCGTCTATAGTTTTGAAATGCACTGTACAGTCATATACAGTCTACTGACCTGTATTATGTACAATAATTATGTCTACTTGTTCAGTTGTGTGAAGATTGCCATCTGGCATGAAACTTTTAGTTACGACAATCCAGACGCGTGGTGCTCTGTGAGCGTGGTGAGTGTGGCTCGTGTGTTACTGCTCTGCTTCCGCATTGAGCACTCTATCGAACGGGAGGACTCCTCTCTCGTTCTACTTGTACATGACTTGTACTCTGGAGCCTGGCGTAGACCATGCATTGTAGACCATGTACATGGTACAACTAACTTCCAAAGGTCCGCAGATCAGAGTTCATCGAGCGCCGGCTAAACTCTGTACTGTAGAGTGTAGTCTGTATGACTGTAACAAGGAGTCGTGTTGTCCATAATCAACACGTAGATCTACACTGCCACCGTGCCACGTCCAAGTGTAGTTCTACTGACTGCATACATCATGTACTGCACTGATACCAGTACACTGGTACATGAGTAGTACACAGTGCAGGCAACTGAAATCCGAACCCCTGACCTGAGCGGTGCGCTCACATCGCAAAGACCCCCCAACACGGCCGGGATGGTAAAACTACGAGTACGAAACAGAGACCGCTAGAATGTGAACCCACCGCTCACGGGGTCGGATTTCAGTTGCCAGCACTGACTGTACATAGCATGTAGCTAGTCTACGAATCGACCTACGTAGTCTACTGCAGCGACGCGAAGATTAGAGCTGCATATGCATGTAGCAAGCTAGCTGCGGAGTCAGCTGAGTAGATCTACGATTACGAATGTCGAACAGCAGCTACAACATTCAACAATAATCAATGACTTTCAAGTGCGAGTACATGTACTACTAGTACTACTACAGTAGTAGTATGCATTCACAGATTCCCCAGTACAAAGTGCAGTGCACCGCACTGGCTCAAGTTCACAGTCGATACAGCGCCGGCTCTCCTTCCTGACTTCCGAGCGTCGTCTTGGCCTTTCTGAACCCGTGGCGTGATCTGCAGAGTCTGCTCGCCTAGCTCGCTCTCCGGCAATCGTCTTCACTTCTGGCAGCGCAGTCGCTACTGCCAGTACCGGGTCGAGGCTGGAGCACTGGTAATTTCCAGACACCGATCAGGGCTGCAGAATTAGTAATTTTGACCTTTCAGCCCTATCCAGGATATTATTTTGCGTTGAGGACGAAGTACAAGTACTGGTTGCACCGAGAGAGCGTCTGACCTTGACAAAATAACAGTTGCCCTTGCATTTGCAAGCTCGGTTTGAGCGATATTGACTGCGTTATTTTTGCGTTGCTAGTCAGTTTCACCTTCTCATGTCTAGGCCGGCTACAGCTCTCACAGCCTGAGTGAAACAACGACTTCATTGCCGCGTCAGTTGCATGTTCTGTTCACCTTGCGAACAGCCAACAACAGAATGGCGGAGCCGGCGTTCGACAAGCACCGGACACCACGTTACACATCGTGTTCCCCTGGCACTAGCCCTGACGCTAGTAGGCATCATCCTATGCGCAGAGTGCGCTCAGGGAAAACAATTGGCGGCGTGCGGGCACTACCAGCCGGGGAACGAGGCCCAGGAACGACCAGAGGTTAGTAACAGTAGCGTGCAAACCATCAAATCTGTTCCAGTGAATTTTCTTGATTTTTGCAGCGGAAGCTACAATAGTTGGTATGCTTTGGCAACCTTGTGCGCTTGTAACTCTGCGCCATTCATCTGCTAATGCAATTATTGTACTAATAATATGTAGCATTTCATTGAGTATCTAATTATAGCTAAAATTGAAGTTTCTGGGAGGCCATGCAGTCCCCCTTTGCAGACCCCGGCTGCAGCAGCCGCATACACCAGTACACCGCGCACATAATCAGTAGCACTGTGTCGCAGTCGGCGGCGTTATCGTCGTCAATATCATTGTCGACCTTGGGTCCCCGGCCACTAGTACTAGTAGTACGAGCACAGCCCTTGGATTCGGCCTCAGTGGGCGCGGCACCCTGTGTGCACACAGTGGGCAGATAGTTACGCGGCCGGTCGGAACATGAACCCTCACGCTGGGAGAATTTTTCAGGACAGAAATACAGCATGCATTGGGTGCCGTATATCCTTGAATACGAATCGCCCATGGTTACAAGTTGCCATGCCCGCTATGTGGCCCTGCATGACTTCTACACTGCTGGCCAGTGCACGTGGCCATGGAGAAAATGACGCCGAGCACTGTACAGTACCAGCATGGCTAACACTAGATTGTGGCACTGCTTTATTCAGGGGAGAGGGGGGGGGGGGGGGGTTATCACTCGCCAACAGCATGGTATATCTTCATGGGACGAGTGCAATATAATCGGGTGCCGAAGAACGGTGCGCCCGAGAAGGAACAGGCTGGAATTTTGCCAAGCACAGAGACTGCGGTACCGTATGAACAACCTAGGCTGCGGAGCTGATTCTCTCTCTCTCTCTCTCTCTCTCTCTCTCTCTCTCTCTCTCTCTCTCTCTCTCTCTCTCTCTCTCTCTCTCTCTCTCTCTCTCTCTCTCTCTCTCTCTCTCTCTCTCTCTCTCTCTCTCTCTCTCTCTCTCTTCTCTCTCTCTCTCTCTCTCTCTCTCTCTCTCTCTCTCTCTCTCTCTCTCTCTCTCTCTCTCCCTCTCCCTGTTCTTCGGCACTTGGCAGTAGTGTTGTACATGTTCTAACTATAAACGTCGCACTCTACCGCAGGGTACACTACCTATGCTGGCGTTGACGTTGAGTTGTAAAGAACTGTGACAGCTCAGTGCCTGAGGTGCGGCATGGATGCGACATGCACTGAGTGCCTGAGGTGCGGCATGGATGTGACATGCACGGAGTGCGTTCGGTTTCGCCCACCGATCGATTTTGAATCCATTCATGAATCGCCCCTGGCTATTCTCATCACTCGATGTGAATGTAATGAATCGATTACGAACCGATTCCAGGGCTCATGACATGAAATCGAACGACGAGATTCATGAATGGAATCTCGTCGTTCGATTTCATGTCATGAGCCCTGGAATCGGTTCGGATTCCATTTCATCCCATTCACATTGGGTGATGTGAATAGCCAGGGGCGATTCATGAATGGATTCAGCATGAATTCGCAGGCATAATCGAACGCACTCACTGCAATTGGTGGAGTCCGTGGAAATATTTGCTACAGTACTGGCATACTCCTGGTTCTGCCCAGGGATAGAGCGCTTCCACTGCGTTACTCGCAAGCTGTAGCACGGTCAAAATAGTGGTGGTGGGGGGGGGGGGGGGCATGGGAAACAGTTACCCCGTATTCCATTTTCCACTTTCCAGTATTGTCTTGCCATGCCAAATGCAACGTATGCGGCTTTTTCACAGGGAGCGCGCAAACAGAGAGAGGGGGGGGGGGAGGTGGGGGGCAGCGCCCCCCCCCCCCCCCCCTTGGCTAGAACCCTGCAATTAGCATGTATGCACACCCCCCCCCCCCTTGGCTAGAACCCTGCAATTAGCATGTATGCACACCCCCCCCCCCCCTTGGCTAGAACCCTGCAATTAGCATGTATGCACAGAGGTTATGTTAAACACGGACATAGCAACAGCGATGAAAATACTCATCAGACAGATCGCTCGTGTCAACTATTTCCTTTGCACGTACGGTACAGTGCTGCTAAATGAAATCCAGTTGCGTCCCTCGAGTACGCGCCGGGCGTTGCGCAGCCCGAGACCGGTGAGCACTTGGCTGTGAAAAGGTGCACTGCGCAGGCTTGAGTGACGCGACTGGATTTCACCGAGCACCACTGTATGTCTACATTGGTATTCTACGGGAGATTGGCCAATGGGGATTATTATAATGATTCTTGGATGGAGAGCCAAGGATAAATATTAATAGAAAAGAAAAAGAGGATTTGGCAACTTTAGTAACTGGCGGTGTTAGTGGACATTATAGCGTAACTTGTAGTTCTTTGGTCCTTTTTTCTTTTCTATACTGGTTCTTGAAACCAACCTCTTCTTAATGTAATGGTTCTTGCTTGAATAAATATCAGTTTGAAGACTGCTCTTGCAGCTCTCTGTCGTTCCTCCTATGGTATGCCTGTAAGCTCTGCAACTGTATGCATTTCGATATGTTGACGCTCCAGTGCCCAAGACTGAACCTGATAGTCCGGAAGAAGACGTTACGGACAACAACCTGCCGGGGGTTGCCCAGCATGTTCCTGCTCTGCGCAGGTCACAGGCACAATTTCAATGTTCGTACTCGCCACCCGTAGCTAAAGCTAACTCACATTCGGCATTCAAGTCCACAAACTCGCGGCGGCCGAATAGTGGCCATGCCGCTCACGCCAAAGCACCGGCGAAAGTCAACAAGAGTGAAAACGGCTCGCCGCCGGCAGCCTACAGCCAATCTGATAATGGTAAGGGCGTGCGTCTTGCTCTTACATTCTACAGTGGCATTAAGTCATGGGGGGGGGGGGGGGGGGGTTATGCTGTCAGACTGCTGTAATTGCACATTGCTACCCAGGATACTAGTAGTGGTCACTGGTGATACGTTGCACTTCGTTTTTTGTAAACCGCAGAAAACCCAACGAACGAAAAGTGCGATAGGATTCGCAAAAAATTCATTATCTAGTTGAGCAGAATGACCAGCACTACCAGTAGTTGTGCCGCTGTACTTGACTGTACTTGACTGTACTTGACTGTACTTGACTGTACTGACTGTTTGCTGCTGTACGTGGCTGTCCGTGATCGTACGTCACTGTTCGCTGCTGTACGTGGCTGTACGTGACTGTACATGCCTGTACGTGGCTGTACGTGGCTGTACGTGGCTGTACGTGACTCTGCGTGACTGTATGTTGTACTATCCAGCAGGTACAACATTTGCCACAAAAATCCGGCCAATGCTGCATGCATCGTAGTCGATTACCACGTGCAGCACTGGCCCTATTTTTTGGCAACCATTGTAGGTAGGTGTCACTGTGTCTGGCGCGACAAAGGACACACCAGATGTCATATTTGCAACCGAAAATGTTGCGCGAGCAATCGTTTCAAAAGGTTGCCCGAGAAATCATTTCTCGCCTATCTCGCTGTGCTCGGCCGGCGAGAAATACAAATTTATTTTCATTCCACTGGATGCGTGTTTGTGAGTACTGCTGTGGACATTGATATCCGGTGGAATGACCGCGGGGCTGGCGCCCTCTTGCTTAGCACGTACCGCCACCGTAACACTGCAGAAATGGACCAGCAGTGCTCGCGGCTGCAAGGCCAGCGCCCCGTGGCTGCTTGACTTCTCAGCGGATTTCAATGTCCCGGGATACAGTAGTAACAGTCAGAACTGTGTGACTGTACGTGACTGTACGTGACTGTATGTTAGTCTAGGAATACCAATTCCACTGCATGTCCGGTGCGGTGGGAAACCGTTGGTAACTCTGTATTTTTCTTTTCCATTCTCACATTGGAATGGGCGCACGACAAACGCTGATTCTGCTGTCTGCTTTGCTGTGCGTGCCGTTATGGTGCTTGTTGCTGGCCGTTTATTCTTCTTGCTGTTGCAAAGATGACGATGATGATGATGAAGGGAAGCTGGCCATCGTGGAGTCTGATGAGGAGCGTGTCGGCGTTGCTTCTACTTCTATGTCGCCATCCTCCCAGGATGGCAACACGACAATATCAAGTGTTAATGCCAACCGTGGCTCTTCAACTGACTCGTCAACGAACATATCAACGAGCTCTTCACCGGACCTGACACGCCTGCCCAGTTTAACGCCGATTCCACGGCCAATTCCGCTGCGACAAGCCGGAAGTGGCTTGGAAAGTGCTGCAGCAGCAGCGCCGCAAACCAACATCTCTGCTACTGCTTCTGCTGGTGGACAGCTAGCTAGTATGCTACAGCGGAGTAAAATAAATTGTCAAAGCACCGACGCTGGGATGTCGGCGTTTCCGACGCAGACACCGGCATCTACAACGTCTGCGCATGCGTCGGAAGGATTTGTGACCAAGTATGCCTTTACAGGCGCCACGCTGGCGTTTCCCCCGGCCTCCAGGGATCAAGAGGTGCCGGCGGTGGCTGGTTCGTCGGCGTTCCCGCTGCCCGCGACCAGCAAACCTGCCGTGACGGCCACCGTGCACACCGCTGCGTACCAGCCTGGCGCCTCGGCATTCTCCACACCGCTAAACCGCACCTCCTCCTCCGCTAATGGCAACCACAGCGGCTCTGCTCTTGACCTAGTCCTGGTTAAGTCGGCATCCGACGCCAGCGCCAGGTCGGTGGACTCTCCGCCGCCGTCGACCTCCGTCAGATCACCGCCGCTGGGCCCGCTCGGACCCTGCGTGGTCTGCGGAGAGGACTCCAGCGGCAAGCACTTTGGCGTCATCACCTGCGAGGCGTGCAAGAGCTTCTTCCGGCGTAGTGTGCGCCGCAGCGCCAAGCTGAACTACATGTGCATGCGCCAGGGCCAGTGCAAGGTGGAGAGTAGCCGCAGGACCACGTGCCAGGCGTGTCGCTTTCACAAGTGTATCGAGGCCGGAATGCAGCCAGACTGTAAGTATTAAGGCAGTGCTCCAAAACTTAGGGTGGGATAACGCAGATTTTTTCGGTGTAGCCTAAGCACAAATTCATTCTTAGCACCCCTGCCGTGTGAATGCATTAATTTAAATCTTGAAGAGTTGCGGTTTCAAATTTGGACTTCACGGAGAATTTCAAAGTATTAGGAGAGAAAAGAGTAGTACGAGGCATGTGGCCTCTAATTTCCTAACAAGTTGAGTTGGTGTCAATAAATGCCTTGCATTTTCTGAAGTATAAGCCAAACTTTAAACTCGGATGGTGAGCCAATTAAATTATGGTGAAAAAGGAGAAGGAAAAAATGCTATGAGTTATGACTAACTATCCCCCAACGTAACCAGATCTTATAGAAGTGTTGGAGCTAGGTGTCAGGTCTTATAGAAGTGTAGGAGCTAGGTGTCCAGTCTTATAGAAGTGTAGGAGCTAGGTGTCAGGTCGTATAGAAGTGTAGGAGCTAGGTGTCAGGTCTCCGAATGCCTCAGTACATGTACTCTTTGTCAGTTTTGTGCCATCATTTTGTCGCACTCGCTGACCGTATAAGATCTGGTTGCGTTGGGGGACAGTTAGTCATAACTCGTAGCATTTTTTCCTTCTCCTTTTTTCACCACACTTAAACACACTCACAATTCACCCAGAAAGAATCGGTGCGGCTTATGCATGTTACATGTACTGCGGTGGTCGAATGAGCCGTGAAATACAGGGTAGATGTCTGTATTTTGCGACAAAACATCTGTGCGGGGCGGCTGATGCTCCTGAAAATATGGTATACTGTAGAGGAGATGTTAGTGTTTGTGGTGAGGGACAGCCGGATTCGGTGCCCATGGGCCCCTTATGTTCTTGTGCGTTAGGCGCATGATTTGCATCTATTTCTGACGTTGTTGTAGTGCTGCCTGGTCACGGTTTCTCTGTGTGATGGCATTACCCCAAATTGTCTCTGTCACATGGGTATGCCGTATGTGTCACCTGAAAGACTAAAATGTATACTAAGTTAGTAGCCAGGTCCATGGTAAGGCTGTTTATAGGAGCTGAACTACTTCATCTTTGCTTACTGAGCTCAACCCATCCTCTGCAAAGACGTTGGTGCAGGTCGTCGGGAAGCAATGGCTGTTTGGAGACTGACACGGCTCGTCACTGATCATCACGTAGTGATCACCAGTGACTGTATTGGAAGGTTCTGTTTGCACACTGTAGTGCGGGCTAGTACGAGGTTGCATTCAAGCATGTTAACGTTGCTGGTCATCACACGTTCTATCTAGTGTGTTTTACTCCGTTGATGATGATAATGCTATTTGTGTGTGTGTGTGTGTGTGTGTGTGTGTGTGTGTGTGTGTGTGTGTGTGTGCGTGTGTGTGTGTGCGTGCATGCGTGCGTGTGTATGGTTTGCCGGGCGTTGCAGTGGTGCAAGATCCGCGCTGTCCGCAGGTCCAGCGGGGCCCTACCGGCAGCACCAGTGGCATGCAGGCGCCGTCCTCGTCCGTGGTGAGAATCGTCGTGAACCCTCAGCCGGTGGCACACACCGTACCAGTGTACGGAGCACGGGAATGGAGAGGGAAAGTGTATCAGCCGCCAACAGCTCCACCGGCTACGGTGGCGGCGACGACAGCAACAGCAGCAGCCAACGCCGGTAAAAACAACAGCAATAACAACAACGGCAGCAGCAGCTCAGTGGGTGCCGTCGACGCTGGCGCCGCCGCGGAGGTTAGAACGACTGGCGCCCCCGGCAACCAGCCCTCGCTTCCACCGCTGATCGAGATGGGAGTCGCACGGACCAAGCCAGCGTCGGCAGTGCCTATCAATATTGGGGCACTGCGTCGCTCGGAGCAAGGTGTCCAGGCAGCCCTGAATTCACAACTAACCCAAAAAGGAATGGAGCTTCTGGACAGTTTGGTCAAGGTGGACAACGAATTACGACAACAAGCGCCAGCAAGGAATGGACACCTGGGCGTAAAATTCATCAAGGATCGCAAAGAAATCTTGTCTCTGTTCCGTGAGCAAGTTGTGCAGATTGCCCGCTGGGCATATCTCTTGCCCCGTTTCCGTGCAATACGCTTGATTGATGACCAGGTAATGTTGCCTGAATCTTAGACAGCTGGCCATGCTACTTCCTCTCTTAGTCGTGGTCTCTTGTTTTCTGTCTCTTTCTTTCTCTGTTTCTCTCCCTCCCCCCCCCCCCCTCTCTCTCTTTCTCTTTCTCTCTTTGTTTCGCTCTCTCCGTTTCTCCTTCTCTCCCTCCCTCTCTCTCTCCTTCTCTCTTTCTTTCTGCATCTGTCTGTCTGTCTGTTATCAGTCTATCAGCTACACAGCTTTGTCCAGTGTTACGCATGCTGAGGACACAGGTATCCCACACTTGGGGCTAGCCCAAACAGTAGAGCAAAGGATCAGTTTGGCTTTCCTTCACCATAGCTATACTGCAAGGACTACAGTCGTCGGAAAGAAAAAAAATTGGCCAATGTCGATACAGTGGTATGGTACGTGGACACGGTGGTGCCACATGGTAGCATGGTAGCATGCATACGTTTACCAGTCACTGGTCACGGTTTGCTGTAAATCTACCACTGCACTGCTCTGACTATGCAGCTAGTACGTACATGACAGGTCGGGTATATGCAGTGGTAGTGCACGTGTAACTACCATGTACAGCATTGGCCGGATTTGTTTTCGTGATGGCTGTAGTCAGGGGTTTTGGCCAGTTTTACGCCACGAAACGCCTGGCTACTATTACTAGCACTTGAAGCCTACAACCCTGGACAGCATGGGCTGATACTCGGTACCAGGTATGCTGTACACTGTGATGGTGTGTATCGAACCGGGGCTTATATTTTTTTGGGGCAAGACAACTTCCGCTTGAGAAGCCACAGTATCATTGGGTGCTCGATCCACTGTTTGAAATATGTCGTTCTCACGATGACCTGTGGCCAATAAGATAAGAAGAGAAACAGGTGCGGGGATCGCAGTTGATTTCATTCTTGCTTTTGTTGCTGCTGCTGCTGTTTCTGTTCTTGTCTTGTCTGCGGGGTGTCGTTGCGGTCGCCGCATACCATCGTTGGATTGTCCAGGTAAAGGTCCTCGCCGAATCATGGCACAACGTGCTGGTGTTCCGATTGTCGCAGCTCAGCCAGCCTAACCTCGACGACATGGTCGTAATCCAGGGTGCCGCTATTGAACGCCGATCTCACCGCCGCTCCAGCAGTGCCAGTGACACGGAGGGCAGCAGCGAGGACGACGAGACGACGTCGCCTGGCGCGGCGGAGTGTCGGGAAGTCGTGCACCTGCGCGAGATCATGGACAGTGTTGCCGATCCGGTCATAGTGCGTGCCCGGGGGCTGCGCATGTGCCGACTGGAGCGAGCTTGTTTGTGCGGCATGCTCCTCTTTGACCCTGGTAAGTGACGTCGTCTCACCACTCATCACTAGTACTTGCTATCTCTGTGTGTTATTACTGGGATGTTCTGGGTGTTGGCAGCAGTTGTGAGTTCCCTGGGGAATGGAAACGAGAATTCACTTTTAAAATGAAGGAAACGCCACCGCATTCCTGCATTTTATAATACTGTATTTTCCGGAGTATAAGCCCCACTTTGAACACTCAAATTTCACCCCAAAAAGGTGGCTGCGACTTATACCCCGATGATAAAATTAACGGTGATATATAGAGTAGATGTCTGTATTTTGTGGCAAAAAATGGGGTGCGGTTTATACTCCGGAAAATACGGTGCTTTTATTTGATTTCGTTCCATCAGCTCCATTTCCGGGCTACAGCTCAGTAATCTCCGGGCTTGCGGTGATCTCAGGGCTTACGGGTCGCCTGTGTTCCAGAGTCGAGTTGTCTGAACGTCAATGAGTTTTCAAGGTCGTTATGAAGCACGGCAGGCAGCAAGATGAGACACCTGCACGGCCAGACAGTTGTTATGTGGGCTTAGTGTAACACCATCATGCCGCATGGGGTACACTGACAGGTAGAGGAGACGGCTCGATACCGGAACGTTTTGACAGCCAAATTTGTATAGACCCAAAACGATCATCAACGTTGATTTTTCACTCGAAATATGTTTGTGGAAGGAAACTGGCATGTTGAAGTTTGCTCTGGGGCCAGAGTCAATCGAACTGAGCCACTCCTTTGTGTTGACCCATTGCCTCCAAGTTGCCCAATTTTTCGCTTCAAAAAAGTTCAAATCAGAGGTGGCTCCAAACCGGACACGTTTTAGAGTGCCCGTCAAATTCACTCTGGGTCTGAAATTAGGTAATTGCTATCGCTCCACGACGGCCAGTACAGAGTAACAATAAGCCTTGTGTGTGCTTCCATTAGTTTTGATTGGTATGCGGTGCTTTATTGTCGAGAGGCGAGCCGCTGTTTACCTGCGACAAGAAGTTGATTTTTCGAAAGTCGTAAAACTCAAGTCGCAGTGCGAAGCAACACGTCAAAAACTCACCTGCTTGATATGGCGCTTCTGGTCATCGCAGAGCCATGAAATTTTGGCTCGGAGTATAACACATCGTAGTCTCACTGTGACATATGTTTTCTAATCAAAATACCAAGAGAGAAAGTGAATATTGAGTCCGTTCCGGTTTGCAACCTATTTCCTATTTGAAACCGTCGCCTCTACATCTTGGGATTCTTTTTATCATGTGCCTGTCACCGTACCTCATGCATGATGTGCTTTGTAGTCGACGAAACACATGCCTGCAGGTTCTGGCCGTCCGCAGCTCTAAGACGTGTTTAGTGAAGCATAGTTACAAGAACGATAGCTAGCTGCAATGATGCCTGCTGCAGCCACACGGCCCACCAGCTAGGCCAAGAGAAGGACCAGGTTAAGCTGGACCCATCTATCGACTCGTTGTCCCGTTCTGTTCATGCAGACACTACTCTGTAGTCCAGCAGACTCTTTTAAAGGTCCATCCGTAATTATCGATCTTTTTCACGAAGAGAAAAAGGTTCGTTCATGGGTGGGTGGGTTGAGGAGAGTTTCGTTATGAAAAATATTGATAGCTGAAACATCAGTCCATTCCAGCTGTCAAGTCAATGTATTTTTCGTTCATGGGGGCGGGTGGGTGGGGAGGGTCATAACTAAACTTTTTCGTTTCGTGAAAATTATCGATAATTCCGGATGGCCCCTTACTTGTCGCAGAACACAACTAGAGTAACTCGAAGGCCTACGTGTACGTCTTCATATCGAGATGTACATTGGTGGCAATTGAAATCCAACCCCACGATTACAGAAGAGTGGCATTCACCGCACCGTCCTATTGTTGACAGTGCTTGGGCTGTGCAGACCCCGCAGCTGTTGTATCAATGCGGTTGGATTTCACTTGCCATCACTGTACTTGTACGTGTTCGTATCTAGATGTACATGCGAAGATATGCATGTACATCTACATGTACATCTACATGTATGTCTTCAAATTAATTGAGGTACTGTAAAACATGTAAATTTCGGTGCATTAAAATGTCGGTGTCAGGGACCTGATGGGTTTCAGGTGTAACTTAGAATTAGGTGACCAGCATTCCTCTCACATACAGCACATACTATTATGCCATTTAGGTGTAATCTAAATTTAGGTGCCTGGTATTTCTAACGAAATCACCAAAATCAAAGTTACACCGAAAATAACCTGTTTAACAGTGTACATACAATAGCCCAAAGCGATGTGTTCTTTATGCAACCTAGAATTTCTCACTGTGTGTGCGTGGAGATTTTGCAGAACCTCTCCTTGGTTTTTGTTTGTTTGTTCATAAAACACAAGGATCTTCATGCTGTGGTGCGCCGTGCAGCGCGAGCAAGCTGGTCGGGGGTGAGCAGGTCAGATACCAGCTCCAGAGACCCGTTTTGCCTTTTTGCCGACCTCGTCCCAACTGGCTGGCTGGGGTTCCTGCCACTGATGCACAGAAGGCCCGATCATATCCCAGTAGAGCTGGGGTCGCAAACTGTTGGTTGGCAGTACAGATAACGTGCCGGTACGTCACCAGCTCCACGAGTGCTTCGAATGGAGGGTTCGTTTTTCAGTGCACAGGCCCCCAGCCAGGTGGCGAAATCCACAACGGAGTGCTTCTTCGTCACGCATAGGTTGAGAGACACGCGCCTGTCTTCTCCGCCCTCAGTGCTATGCTCAGGGACATTCTCTGCGAAGAGATCCTCCAGCTGAATAAACTTGCCGCGTGTGATTTCCCCGTCTCTTACCCGTGGCCGTAGGGACAATGGAGCTGGACTCGCGAGTGCTTGCCATGGCCATTGCGATCGGAGGCTGGGCGGATTGGATGGTGGATATGTCCATGGCGCTGGAGTCGACCTGCGGAGGATGCTGGGTGACGGTGTTGGACACAGCTTGGACCACATCTGCCACTGAGGGGACCGGTGCCGCCTGACGGCCATCCAGACCTGAACCAACTGCGATTTGCTGTTCAAGGCACTCACCTCGAGCTAGTCAGGGATGCAGAGCCGTTGACACGGCTGCTGCAACAGAACGTGGGTTGCGGTCACTTGTGGATGAGCTGGCTGGCTGTGGAACGACTGACTGGGGCAGCGCTTTACGTGCACGGTGAATTTCCGTGAGCTATGGCAAACCTTGAGGTTGAGGTTGAGAAAGAAATACACTGCCAGTACAGACACAGCATGAACTGAACTCGGGAACAGTGGACTTTGGAAAACAGTGAGCACATGTGGAGTTTGGTTGGGAACAGAGCACACGCCTTCTGTGTTGACATACTTTTAGGCACACACCAAAAATTCATTTTGTTTGTTTGTGTGTGTGTGTGTGTGTGTGTGTGTGTGTGTGTGTGTGTGTGTGTGTGTGTGTGTGTGTGTGTGGTGTACGTGCGTGTGCTTGTGCGCACTTTTGCTTTGCTTCTGGGGCGTACAGATCCGCATCTGAACAACGGCACGAGCCAAGAGGTGTTCAACTCGCTTCACTCCTACCAGAATGCCCTGATGAGCGAACTGTATGACCTGTGCCAGCCCAGTGAGCAGCTTTACCCGGTCAAGTCCTCGTCCGCTGAGCGGGGAAGCGGCAGGGGAGGCAAAGACTCCACCATTGACAATGGTGGCGGTGAACTCAGCGTCCCACCTGAGTGCAAATTTTACCAGTACCTAGTGAACATGAAGATGGTGGCCACATCTCTCCAGGGCTACCTGAAACAGCATTTCACCCTGTTCGGGAAAGAAGAGAGCTTCCGAACATTCCTGCTGGGTATCCTCTCCGCAGTTCACGCGGCGAATACTGCCGACACGGCTAACAACATGCCACCACGAACAGGATTGGTAGCTAAGGAGATGCTGCAGCGGCGGAGTCAACAGTCACACCACGCTGAGCGACGTCAGCAGCAGCAGCAGCAGCGTGAGCATCGCATGTCACACAGTGACAGTGAGGATGAAGACGTGGACGTCTTGTCGTAAGAACCACCACACACACAACGTCTATGCCACGTCAGTGTACGTGTAATGGCAGGCCACGTCTGTCGCAATGATTTTCCTGGAAACGAACAGAACGATTTTCGATGAACACTCCCCCCCCCCCCCCCCCCCACCACCCACCCACCCCTGCTATTAACCCTGAGTAATTATATTTCTACATTCAAGCTGCTGCCAACCCGCACGCATGCACTAGACAGGGGGTTCCGTCTATATTTTTCATCTGGCCTATCTTTCTTCCCAGGCACCTCGCAGCCGGTGTTGTCTTATTCTGTCGTTGTCCGCTGCGTCACCGTTTCTTTGGGTCTAGTGTGGGTTGTCTATCATAGCTTTTTCGGAGTGGTTTCATCATCTCTCCTATATAGATACGGGCAATCAGTTTATTTTCATAACTGAGGAAGCGTGGCTTTTAGTTCGAAGTGCTAAAGCGAACAAGTATTAGTTATTCTCCGAGAAGTGCTAAACAGGACGAGTTATAGTTACTCTCTTTGTGTTCAGGTTTTTATGGTGACATCAAGTCAAAGTAGGCTCTTTAATATCTCGCTATTTTTCCCCGTGACCCAATAATTATTTTCCGGTTGCGTGCCGATCTCAAGCACTCTGTGCTGTGTACATGTGTGCTGGCCAGCGGGGAAGTTGCATGCTCCCCGGTCACGCCGGTCGAGCCGGTCGAGCCCTGAGAACCAGCACCAGGGGAAGTATTATTGTACGTGTGCAGCTTTTCCTGGCGACCTTCATACACCGGATGTCACCGGGCCCACCATTGCGGTAGGTCTGCTGAGGTGGGTGAAGTTTTTAGGTGGTCGGGAACAGGTGCATCATGGCGTCACGGCATGCATCGGGCTGACAGTACCGTACTTGCTATGTGGCCCGGGGCAGCAGGGTATTACAAGCTAGGCTTGAATGCAGCTCTACCTAATCGTAATACTGTACAGTCTACATCAAAATAATCAATGCCATACCTGAGCTGAGTCATGAATTTTTGCCAATCTGATCTCTGTAATACTAATACCAAGAGTACATAACCCGGGGTTATGTACCTACCGTAGTCTTGCTAATACTAGTAGTCCGTCTCTGCTCGCTGTTGCCGCAGGTCTCAGCCTGGTCTTCTACTACTACTACTACTACAGACACTGGCTGTACTACAAAATAATTTTAAAACACATACAATAACATAGCCTCATCATACTCAAGGAGGAGGGGAGTAGAGCGTCATGGCGTCAATATAATTACTATGATCAGGGGCGTACACCGCTCGCCTCTAGGAGTGGTTCCCATGCCAACTGATCAACCAACATAATTCCACACGGCTAGTGCTCTTATACGTATCCGATGGAGTTTCTGCTTAAACTGCTGGATAATGTCACTGCTACGCATATTTGATTTAAAAAGACTGAACTTTGCCAAGGCATTTTTTATGGATGTTTTGTTCAGCAGGACGATTTCATGTTATGCCGTGAAACGAGTCGCTGAAGCACATCCACACGCTCAGTCTTGAGTCGGGTTATATTCTTGGGAGGACTGCGGTAAAGCTGCCCAAACTTCGAATCACCTGGAGCAAACATTACACAGGGCAAGCAGAAGCCACCATGGCACCCCGGTCAAAAGACTACCCAGGGAAACTCCTCCAACCAGGATATTTGAAAGCGGCGCTGTTTGCCACCCGTCTGGACACGCACAGGAAACGAAATCCTTCGCATTCAGTGCAGCTAGTGGCGCACAATGATTGTCAATGACGGAAATCTTTTCCATGTATGGCAAATTTCGGAGGAATCAGAGATTCCACCGTGGAGGTACACTTTCAGAATATCCTTTCCACCTTGCCTTGTCACCGTCCTCGGACGGTCAGGCGGACTGCAGGCGACTACGCCGCCTAGGCATTCATGCACTGCATGCACGCTGGGCCTTGATCAAAACATTCTCCGTAGATCTACCCACATCGAAATTATTTTACTGGTTCCCGGGCATCCCGGGAACCGCCCTATGTACGCCCCTGATGATAGGCTGTACCGGTATACCGGTATTTCATGTACAGGATCTCATGATACAGCATGATTGTAGTACTAGTACTAGTAGTTTCCTGTAGTACAATCTTGAGAATATGACGTCACAGCTTGGTCATTGCCAATCAAAATAAAAAATGCAACAGTTTTGAATTTCGAAATTTCCTCCCCATGGCCATACGAGCGTACTACTATTGCAGCTCGACTAATTATTTGTACAGCGCACTGCTCTTTCAAGTTTCAGGAACCTCGATGGTATTCGAATGACTGGGTTTCACTGGAGATCAGCAGCTGGTCTCCTGAGGACGGGCAGAGCTTGGGCTGGAGTGTATCGTCGACAGCTGAACACCACAGGTGCGCTCACTGATTTACTGCTTGATGGATTTGATTAGCAATAAGTCTATTGCTTCAGTACTTAGCTCCCAGTCGTTTCTTAGGAGAGATCTGTGAACTAAATGCACGCCTAAACATCAACAGAATTTTCTGTTATACTGTGCATTCCTGACGTACAGTCCACGTTCGTAACAATAATAATGGGAAATGAAGAAATTTTAAGATGGCAATGAACAGAATCAGCTGAAGCGCCATCTGTTACGAAGGTTTTATTGAAATGTAAAGTGGTGATGGACAACGAAAATAACTGATTCTGTTCATTGCCATCTTAAAATTGTTGTCACCTCGCCGCCTGTTCAAATGAAGAAAATGGATTTCATTTTTACTACTGTAGCACGGGTATATGGTAGTAAGTAAAACAAGTGTGCGTTACAACCGGCTATACAATTGTGCTGAGAAACACAACCAACTGAGTAAGTTCCGATTGTACCAGTCCACCACCATGCCTGAAATACCAGGGTGGCAGATGCAGCGCCTAACACTAACAGCGAGGGCGAGGTGGTAACTCTCACAACCAATGTCCGATAGGGGGGCGAACCTCGTTAGCTGCATCCATGTTGCCCTCACTCCGAGTAGTGAGCACCCGGTTGACCATGGGTGTCGGCGCAGTTCATTGCATGTATTTAGAAGTGGTTCACGCATGCATCACTGCGTTTGTTAGCACAGTATGTGCTCCCTGCTGCCAGCGCTGGTCTCGAACTCGGGACTTTGTGATTCGCAGGCAAGCCCACAACCACTCGGCCAAAGCACGGATGCTAGTACATGTACATTGTATCTATGTTGGAGCAAAATCACAGTAGCGGAAAAGGGCCGAGTATCCCGGCCCCGCATCCCCGGTCGTCCCACTCTCCACTGCCCTGTGACGCCCCTGCTGGTCATGTGACGCCCCTGCTGGTCATGTGACACCCTGCTGGTCATATGACACCCTTGCTGGTCATGCGACATCCAAGACCTGGTCGTCCCACTCCCCAGAGTCCCCAGTGCCCTGTGGCACCTCTGATGCATACAGCATTAGATCACATAGATCGCGTTATCAGAGTGCACGGAACACTACTCCGAAGTAAGGCGGAATATCTAAATCTCCCACCATTCAATGGCCTGTGGGTTTCTAAATGCTTTTACAGAATCACACATCCAGCTCGCAACGGAAAAAAGGGCAAAAAAAAGAGAGCGAACAGGACGGAAGGAAGGACGATTCACTGTTTTCGTATACACGCTGTGCACAGTTTTCTCCGCCTGTTCTCCACTAGATTTGGGTCGGTCTATTGTAGAGTTCACGATGAACTCAAGTTGTTCCTTCACATGGCATGTCTGTCGCCCAAGCTTGGCCTATTCTATCGGGACACTTGCGCAGCCCATGCTACTTGCCGCTTGTCCTCGTCTTCTTGTAGGTTTGTGCATATCAATACAAAAAGGGAAAGAAAGGAAATCCGTTCTACGTGTTCTCTGCCATGTGCTGTTTGCCCACAGCCGTTCATTGTTGCCATAGCTCTAGCGCTTGGAGTCGCCATAGCAACAAGATGCGCATTCAAATCCTGTCGGCGTTGGAGGACAACTACATGTACTTGCTGGTGGACGAGAGCTCTAAGCAAGCTGCCATCGTCGATCCCGTCAATCCCGAGAAGGTATTGCAGGCCTTAATGTGTTTTAGCAAGAGTACATAATAGTCCGTGGGCCGAGCCCCGAGAAGTTAATTTCTGTGCACATGTCTGGTATAGCAACTTTTTATGATTTCATCTGAAAGATCTTGTCATGAGCTACGTTTTGGTCCATGTTGGCATCTGTGGGCGTGGTCGGTTCTTGAGATATAGGCGTTTGAAATTTCAATATTGTTCCCATGGCAACTGCCTAGCAACTGCATAGCAACCCCATAGTAACAGGCAGTTTTCTTTGTCAATTCGCATTGTAAATCACGCAGAAGTGCACCAGTGGCATTTCAGCAGTGTTCATACACCTGAAGAGCCATATCAGGTATGTAAAATCCAATCCATGACAGTTTCCTATGCCATTATTATAATTATACTGTATACAACACCCATAGTGTGCAATAATACATTGCCAGTGCCAGTCCAGCCTGTGTTTCCTGATGAAGCTACAACGCCTCCAAGGCACCCAGCAGCTACAAAAAGTAATGGTCTATGTTTCCACTGCACACTTGCTTATGGCCAAACACACAGTACAAGAGCCTTTGGGTAATCCCTTTGAATAAATAAATAAATATTATTAAGGGGCTGTCCGTAAATATCGATGTTTTTTTAGAGACGATATTGGTGCTTCTCTCCCTGGACCCCCCCCCCCCCCTCCCCCCAGAAGACGCACATGTACATCTAGATCATGGAATCAATATTTTTGGATGCTCATTTTTTTTCCTTTTTTTTGTCAATAATATGAACCCAAGACGGCCAGTCAAAATTCACATTTTACATGAAAAGATGAGGGCGCTGGCGCGCTAGCGCTACCCGTGCAGTACAACTCATCGTACAAAAAGCGTTCAAAGTGCAACTCATCGTGTACTGGTGTAGCCAAAGCGGCTACGCTCGGGCTTGAATTTTTTCAAATCCTTGTTCAGACAGTGAAGACTGGAAACTCTTGTGGAGTTCGTCCGTGTTTGTTCGCACTGCCTCTACGTCTTGAAAAAGGTCTCCTGCAGGCATCGTTCGGCCGATTTCCACAATCAATAGCTCATTCTTTTGCTCTTGAAATTCGCCATGGGCGTACAGCTTCCAATTTTTGATTTTGTTCTTGTGTCGCGAGTTTTAGCTCCGCGAACGGAAGCTGGTTTCACATTTCTTGTATAGCCATTTAGACGTCCGCGTGCAGGGATCGGCGAAACTTCAGATATTTACATCGATATTTTTCTGATGCTCGAAAAGACGCACATGGCTCAAACCCCCTCCCCCCCCCCCCCCCCCCCCCCCAGACGCACCAATATCGTCTCTAAAAAAACATCGATATTTACGGACGGCCCCTAAGCTGAATACTCTAATCTGCCGACAGTCACTGTTTCGGGGTTTGTCCCCTCATCAGCGCAGCACAGAGTTACAAGGCCGAGCCCGAAGCAATGGAGAATAAATTCTCCAAAGCCAAATTTATATCAGGCCCGAACATACCTCCGCCAGAGTACTCGAACTAAGCTGAATATATAGATATATAGAAGCTGCGTGAAGCGTCGTTTAACATTTTGAATAAATAAAATAATAAATATACATGACATTTATATTCTAGATTTGTCTTTGACCAGAACATACAATGCAGACATATTGTGATGAAGACGGATAAGGCACTCAAATGCAATGAGGATGTTCCTGGTTTGACTGAAGTGTTTACTGCTAGCGTTCATCGCCAGACTCTGCGTCCGGCACGTTTCCATCTATGGCAACGTCGGGGCGATTTGTACATGAGGACGAACAAGTGCAGACATCCGTGCATGACACCTTCTCCTTGTAGCACTTACACCGTGCCGAGCTGCATCCCCGTTTGCACCCGCAATGCACCAGCACGTGCTGCATCAGAGCGGATGGTGCAGGTGGTTGAGTCTTCCATACAATGGAGAGCTGCTCACCATCCAAACACCAACCGTGACCACGGGGATGTGGAACTGGCCCAGCTTGCAGGCACTTCTTCCATAGGTGCGCTTGGAAGTTGCTCCGGAGAGTGTGCTGACGTAGTGCATCCTGCGTGGGGGGCAAATCTTCGTACAGCATCCTCGATGCCTGACAGAACAAGCTGTAGCGGATGTCGTTCACAGAAGCCACCGTGGTCTTTGTGTACAGTTTGCACACAAATTGTTGACATGATGCCTGTAGCTCATCGGTGACTGTGAGGGAGTTGCCGAGCAATTGCATGGCATCACTGTGGCCACTGGTAAGAAGCTTGTATGCCAGCTTCTTGCCCCGACGACCAAATGAGCTAACGGAGTCACACCCGGTGAACGAATGAAAGCCGGGCAGAGCAGTGCAAATGTCTGGACCAAAAGACCGCGAAACCTGGGTCAGGCTGACCAACCGGGTATGTTGCCCTGTACCAGTCTGGAGCAGGAGGTTGCATGCCAGTTGTGGGGCAACCCAAAGGCCAATCACTGCAACGTCCGCGTCGAGGGATTTAATTAGAACAGCAGTGGCTCCTTCTGTTGCTGCATGGGCTGCATGCAGAAACATACGCGTGTCAGCCTCCTCTTGGCAGGAATCTAGGGCGGGAACGGCAACGGAAACAACAGATTTTCCGTCGGGACTGGACAGCCGCTGACACGGGGCCCGTGCTGTAACATAAAGAGCACGCTGCTTGAACAACTGGGCTACCTCGGGCGTCTTCCAGAACAGGACAAGGAAGTCACTGAGGGAGATCTTATTCTCCGACACCGACATGAACCCCTTCCACGGAGGGAGCTTCTGCTCGGCGCCTGGGACGCGGACCACCTGTGAGGATGCCTGGGTTCGCTTTTGGCGTTCAAGTGACTTGATACTGTCGGACGGATACTGGTCGCCAACGAAGTCCACCCGCCCCCCATCCGGAACACTTGCAAGAAGAGATGCCAGCACTTGAGTTGCAAGGCTACCAAAGGTAGCTCCTGTGGGTTTAAGAGATTGCAGGGCAGCCATCGCATCAACAATTACCACAGCTTCCATTTGCTGCGTGATGCCTGGTGAATTCCACACGATCACCAAAATGGGCTAGGATTCGACGCTTGAGGGTAGGACGGGTGAATTCACTGCTTGCACTGCCGAGCTCCGCCTGAAATGTAATCAATTTCGTTGCTAGCTGGGCAAGGGAGACAATGGCATGATGACTTGAGTTGCAAGGCTACCAAAGGTAGCTCCTGTGGGTTTAAGAGATTGCAGGGCAGCCATCGCATCAACAATTACCACAGCTTCCATTTGCTGCGTGATGCCTGGTGAATTCCACACGATCACCAAAATGGGCTAGGATTCGACGCTTGAGGGTAGGACGGGTGAATTCACTGCTTGCACTGCCGAGCTCCGCCTGAAATGTAATCAATTTCGTTGCTAGCTGGGCAAGGGAGACAATGGCATGATGTTCAATTTCCTCCATGTACGTCATCAGCTGCTGCAGTGCAGTTGCAGTAGCTTCATCGATGGGATCATCACGTTCCTGCATGATTGCCTCAAGGGTAGACTTCTTTGTGTAAGTCCTGTAGCAACTAGGGTGGTATCTAACTTCAGCAGCAAAAAATCCAAGTCTCCATCCTCGATAGCCAACGAGACTCGCTTGTCACCACGAGTTCTTGCAGCCTGCACCAATCTCTCGACTCCAGTGTCCATTTCAACACGACTCGTCTTCTCTTGGGTGTATTTGTCCACCATTTTCGTACGTTGGCAAAGAAGGCACAGCGTGAAATCGGTAAGTGGCAAGGACTTCCGAGTAGGTCGCTTCTTGGGGGGAGGCTCAGACATGTCCTCCTCCGGCTCGACATCTAGTTTCGAAACGTCCTTGTAGCTCTCCCTCCCTCTCTTTTTCATGAGGCGAGACAAATTACTTTTGTTTGTGTAATTCTGGAAACACGACCTGTGGTAGAAACCACGAGGCTCGGAGTCTTGAGCAGCTCCTTCGTGTACTAGAAAGTCGTAGACTTCACCTCGACGAACATCCGCAGCACTATGAAACGTAGTCCAACTACGCTCTTGGAATGGAGTTAGCCCTTCCTTTTTTTGAAAGGCCAGGAGTTTTCTCAGGTGGCAATTTCACCAGAATCGGTGGCTCTTCAGGGTCCTCACTCTCCATGATAATATATTCTAGCCAATCGAAGTCGGAACACAAAAGCGGAAAGGCAATGGTAGTTGTTGACAAGAATAGCAACTTGACATCAAGAAACATTTGACATGAAACAGGACCAAGAAACATCGAGTGACCGAAGAAGCCTCCTGGGCACCAAAACGTGATTTGCGATTGTACCTTGAACGGGGGCGAATGCAAAGAAATCAATCGAAATCAGTGTAAAATTTCCGGCAAACCGCGCTGGATTGACAGGAGGAAGAAGGATTCCGCTATTGCTCGGAGCAAGAAATAGCTTGCTCTCCTGCAAGATCCGACCAAATGCGAAGGTGCCAACAAGGAAAATACTTGCCACCGAGTTATGATCTACTGATTTCGCCAATAAAAACCTGCTATACCGGGTGTGTGCACAGACACCTCTAAAACGTGCTCTCCTGAGACTTGGCCCATGGACTATAACCCCCCAGAATGTGCAACACCTGATCCAGCTCTGCATAGGGTCTTGGTCGAGCGTAATCGGATCTTTGCGTCGTAATACCGTACACATCTGAGGGGAACCCGGGGAGTCGCGGGTACTCTCGGATCACAAACAACGGTGCCCTGCCTCGAGACCGGCCTTGCGCTGGTGTGGAGTGTACGCATGACATCAGAAGATCCGATTCCGCTCGACCAAGACCCTATGCAGAGCTGGATCGGTGTTGCACACTCTGGGGGGGGTATGTACTCTTGGTTTTAGCCATTGTTGCTACGCTGATCTCACTCCTGTGAGTGGGCGTGGAGGGGGGGGGGGGGGGGGGGGGGTGAGAGAGAGCGAGAACTCTTTAAAAAAACATTTGTTTGTATTGTACTGGGCGGGATGGTCAGAGAGCTATCGGGTGATAGCCGCTGTCGGGTGTATAGCCGCTGTCGGGTGTATAGCCGCTGTCGGGTGTATAGCCGCTGTCGGGTGTATAGCCGCTGTCGGGTGTATAGCCGCTGTCGGGTGTATAGCCGCTGTCGGGTGTATAGCCGCTGTCGGGTGTATAGCCGCTGTCGGGTGTATAGCCGCTGTCGGGTGTATAGCCGCTGTCGGGTGTATAGCCGCTGTCGGGTGTATAGCCGCTGTCGGGTGTATAGCCGCTGTCGGGTGTATAGCCGCTGTCGGGTGTATAGCCGCTGTCGGGTGTATAGCCGCTGTCGGGTGTATAGCCGCTGTCGGGTGTATAGCCGCTGTCGGGTGTATAGCCGCTGTCGGGTGTATAGCCGCTGTCGGGTGTATAGCCGCTGTCGGGTGTATAGCCGCTGTCGGGTGTATAGCCGCTGTCGGGTGTATAGCCGCTGTCGGGTGTATAGCCGCTGTCGGGTGTATAGCCGCTGTCGGGTGTATAGCCGCTGTCGGGTGTATAGCCGCTGTCGGGTGTATAGCCGCTGTCGGGTGTATAGCCCTTATGCATCATACAGTCATTACAGGATTTTTGTTGCGTGGAACATTTCCCGCGAAAATTCGATGTTTACCCAGTTGGGTGTTGTCGACTGCCACGTGACTTGCAAAATATTCATTGCATTACTTTATGATACTTTCCTTGGTCTGTGTTGGGGTTGATATGCCACACTATTGGCAGCAGGGTGTATTAAAAAAACGTTTTTTTAGTACTCCCGGATTGCCAGTATTGCTGTGTTCCTCTTTGCACAAGTAACAGCATACGGTAGAGAACATTTCTTTCCATTCCTTTCTTTCCGTTCAGGAGTTGTGCCAGGTGTGGATCGTAATACGTCGCCGAGACGTGGGCAAATATTTCGAAATCAATAAGTTTCCTAAAGTTTGCTCACTACATTTCACCGAGGACAATAAGTCTGCTGAGAAAGAAGACGCCAAGAGGAGCAGAAGTTGACATCTCTGTCGAGGAAAGTGCTGGGGAAATCAGCTGTTCCGTCCGTGTGTTTCAGTTTTTCTTCAAATCAAGGTAGCCGAAACGTTGATTGATTTCACCAAAGCCCCATTCAACACATATCCGGCATTCGCTCATGCGAGCATTGTGACCTCGTTGGTCGGGCGTCAAATTAGCACCGGTGCCACTCCAAGTCGTCCTGTTCGGTGGAACAAATTTGTTCGGAATTTCGAGAGCAGAGCACTGGGTCGGAATGTCGCTTTTCATGAAACGAAATCGTTCATGGAACGATGCCTCAGGTAGGGACTCAAATGAGAAGTCTAATAAACGGTGTTTCGCTGCAGCATCAGCAAGATCCTGTTCTCTTTCGAGGTACTTCATGAGAAGGACATCGAGGATATCTTCATCCTCCGGGTCAGCCAAGAAGATGAGCTCCAAATCTCTCAAGTCGTAATCCATGACGAACAAGTCTACTGCCGAAAAACACTGCTAGGCAAGAACACTTGTGCATTCGAGAAACTGGAACTGAAAAGAAATTTGATAAAGGAAGACTTCACTTCTATTGAGATCTCTCAGAAAGCTAAAGGAGAGAAAATATTATTTGTTTGAAAAATTGAAAAAATTCGCATCGTGCCAGGCTGGCAAGGACTATTGCCATATCCACCATGGCAACAGTTCACGTTTAAGTAGCGTCAGATTGCGTAGCGTCAGATTGCTAGTGCATAAAGTCCATTTGATGCAAAATTCAACGTTCACTTTTACCGTTAGCGTTATCGTCTCAATGCTAAGGGTACCTATTGACTCTGTAGAGGACGAGAAGCAAAATATATGCAAGACCCTCCATTAAACTGATTAAAATATTTTGTTACTTTGGACAAATAGCTGATGTATTTTCTTCCTGTAATTTCATCCCTGCTGCTGCTGCTGCTGTTGTTGCTGCTGCTGCTGCTGCTGCTGTTGTTGTTGCTGTTGCTGTTGCCGTTGTTGTTGTTGTTGTTGTTGTTGTTGTTGTTGTTGTTGTTGTTGTTGTTGTTGTTGTTGTTGTTGTTGTTGTTGTTGTTGTTGTTGTTGTTGTTATTGTTGTTGTTGTTGTTGCTGCTGCTGTTGCTGCTGTTGCTGTTATGGTGGTCGGCACCACCGCTTCTGCTGCTGCTGCTGCTGCTGCGGGTATCCTTGTTCTTAACATTGTAGGTTGTGGATGCAGTCAAGCAGCTGAACGATATCCGACTGACGACAGTTCTGACAACGCATCATCACTGGTAAGGCAGCTCAATCAAAGATTTGATTCACAGCTCAATCAAAGATTTGATTCACAGCTCTATCAAAGATTTGACTCACAGCTCTATCAAAGATTTGACTCACAGCTCAATCAAAGATTTGATTCACAGCTCTATCAAAGATTTGATTCGCAGCTCAATCGAAGATTTGATTCGCAGCTCAATCCAAGGTCTGCGTCACAGCTCAATTCAATGATCCGATTCACGAATCTTTGTCCGGGTCCATGACGTCCACTGCGCCCTGTTCTCTACTGTGCGTAAAAGCCAGGACAATATGTATGTGCATGTTCACCTTTGTGCTGTTTTGTCAAAGGGATCACGCCGGGGGCAATGAGAAGCTCGGCTCGTTGGTAGACGGCTTGACTGTGTACGGCGGTGATGAGCGTATACCCCGTGTCACGCACCGGCTGAAGAATGGCGACACGTTCAAGGTACATCTAGCTGTGGAAGGTGTTGATTTGTAAAGATTCTTGGGGGGGGGGGGGGCAAACCAACACATGAAGCACAGAAGCCATAATGACTAGGCCTTTCGTACCATTACTTATCGAGCTGAATGCGGTGGTGATTGAAGCCGCAGCAAGCAAGTCCTTGTATGTTATGTTGATTTGTATGGCGTGCAGCGTGTGGTGAAGCGAGCTAAGTTCTTTGGACGTTTATGCTGGTTGTATATGGATACGATATCGCCTAGCATGTCCAAAAACACATGGACAACTGTTGCTGTACTTCAGCTGCCGCGGGTGCATTCTACCTACGGTTTTTGAATGCTGGGTATGCATGATGGCGACAGTGTACTGAATGCCTATGGACCACTGACGGTCATAGACAAATTTCCCCTGTGTGTGTGGCCATTGTTTCGTGCTCTTGGCTATGTACATTCCATGGCACCTAACTTACTGGCCACTGGGGCTTTTTGAAAGAAACCCGCCTGGTACATTCACTCCCCTCCTCCCTCCCCCCCCCCCCCCCCTCCCCCAGCATTTTTCAGTCACTGTCCAACTATGATATGCTCGAATTTGTGGATATGCCCATATCTTGTCATGATTTCGCATTTGACTGTGCACAAGTGAATTCACTCGATCGTTTCGCGGTGGTGTGTTTGCGGTGTGTTAGATTGGTGAAATGAGCGTGCGTGCAATGCACACGCCGTGCCACACGACCGGCCACATCTGCTATTACATCACCTCACCAACACTGGACACGCCGGCCGTGTTTACCGGTATGTCGAATACGGTGACAAAGTCGTTACGCTGCTTAATTTTCGCTGTGTGTGTGTGTGTGTTCCAGTAAGCCCATTGCGCAATGACATAGTCTGTACCATAAACACCTCACGCAACCACCTGGGCATGGTCGTGTGGGGATGTTGACTGTGTTGAGCAGTGCATTCCTGATCCCAGCGTACTTGCGTGCATTACTCATACGTCCCACATTTGGCGTTGCGCAATCGGCTTATGTGTCTGTCTACATGGCAGGCTGTATGAGCTTCCCTTGCATGCTACAGTAAAACTACAGAATAACGTACCTTCAAGGGCCCTAGAAATTTGTACTTAATGGCCGAGGTGCTGTGTATCCGAGGTGCTGTGTATCCGAGGTCAGGGGACGGGTCTAGCATAATGCACGGCCCTGAAAACAGCTCTTTATATCCCATACCGGGAAAAGGTCACCTCCGCCCGCGGAAGACACTGTTTATTTGCTCGCCACGCTTTGAGGCAAACTAAGACTGCTAAAATATTAATACTGAAACAACCACGTCACTTGTAGCAACCTTCGACTATTGTTCATCTCCAGTTCCTTCTTCCCCCGCTTTTGATTGGTAGCTAGATACAACGTCAACAAGTATCACCTTATTCTCCTGATTGTCAAGATCCTCCACTGGACACACCTTGTCTGGTTGTTCAATGACAAGATTTCCAGGAGATATTCCGTTGTAGAAGTTCATATTTGGCTTGTTGGGGGTTTATTGTATAAAGAATGACCTAATCACACTTCAGCCATGATTGGAGAAGCATATTACACAGGGTGTTTGTGGCCGGTATTTCTGGCGCTATTTCTGGAAGCACACACAGCGCCACAGCTGGCCGGGGAATAGGTCAGTATGTAGAATATGGACTGATGCTAACACCGAACCACAAGAAAAAAAACTTGGGTATATCACTAGTAGAAGACTCCTTGCTGACCTCCATAAGAGTCGTCACATTCTGCGTGTCCCACAGCGCTGCAGAACGTTCTATTGTTGATATTCCTGCTTGTGTGCGGGTGTATGGTGTGTGTGTGTGTTGGGGGGGGGGGGCTCTGTATGTGTGTGTGTGTGCACGGGTACGCGTATGTTACGTGTTTGGCTGATAAATTGCAATTGTGTACTGTGCATTGCAGGAGATACTTTGTTCATCGGCGGCTGTGGCAGGTTTTTCGAGGGCACTGCGGAGCAGATGCAGGCGGCCTTGTCATCCCTCGGTGCTCTAGACCCCAGTACTGTAAGTTAACACTGTGTGTTTGCTCTAGCTAGCATGCTGCCCAGTGTGCTTTGGTGCCCAGTAAATAAGGGCATACACTGTGTCACAGTGTTTTACTCAATCAGCGGACAGATCTCGTGACAGGATGACCAACTACACCTCAGGCTATCCTCTGCCTCGCCACACCAAGCAGCAGAACATAAGTCTTCGCTTGCGAACAAGAATGCATTGAGAGAGAAAATCAATTGGTTGTCCAACGCACTTATCATGATTGTTAAGCTGAAGTGCTTTCGCCGGCGCTGCGTCCAGCAGAGTGTGGGTAGAGCCAGTGTCCACGACAGAAGTCAGGCAATTATTTATTTATTTCACTCAACTCGTGGTCCTTGACCAATCGGCACACAAAGTGCGAGAGAGGGGTGATAGCCAACCACGGCGAGAAAGAAAAGGAATAAAGAAAACGAGAAGAAAGAAGGATAGACAAGCAGCCAGCAAGGAGAGATCCTCTTGTACTACATTATGCGATCGGAGAGCATTGCCGCCCACCACTCAATACCACATTGGCGCACGTCCACGAACATTCTGGGCAGTTACCCGCGGCCGGCTTGGTTCACTATGCAGAGGCAAGGGTCTTTCTGCGTCAACTCTGCTGCTGCCTTTACAGCAGCTGACTGCCCGTTCTTGGTGCTGTGCCACGCCATTCTGTCCGGACAGCTCCTCCTCACATGGCCGGGTTGCTTGCACAAGAAGCACACTAGAGGAGGGAGGCGTCGGGCAGTTTCGGGATATATGGCCCATCTCGCTACAGTTGAAGCACAACATTGATTGGCCTTGGCCACCACCTCCGCCTCCTGCCACTGTCCCAGCAACGGGTCTCCTGTCGTCTTGGTCCTTGGCTGTAGCTTTCAGGACCCAGATTTGTTCCACACAAGCAATGATTGTGATAGACTTACCAGCCATGCTCATACGCAGCTGACGCGTGTAATCCATCGGAAGTCCAGCTGTGATCTGCTCCACCATGACAGGGTCCGAGTCGTTCGTCAAACTGCGGACAGACAATCCCAGTAGGCGGCCATGCGTTGGCGACGTTGGCATCGGGTGACTCATCTGGTTTCAATCTGCGTGACGTGAACTGGCTATACGCTGCAGCTGCTGTCCTAGCAAACGCTTCCGTTAACTTGGCCACCAGGAACGTGTCTCCTTCTAAAAACAACTGCAGGTGCAGTAATTGCGCTGTCCCGTTGTTCCATTTCTGTATCTTAGCCAACACAGCAAACTTCTCGCGACACATCGTCAAGTCGTCCGAGCACCACCACGGTATGGCTTCAAGAAACTGTCCACTTTCAGCCACATCTCTGCGCCTCTGCTTGCTCACTCACACCACAAAACAGAGCTCCACTGGCTCCCGGGTTTCGGCACCATAAGTTGTAAAAGGATTACTGACTGCGCCTCAGCCCAACCCCTTTCCCGGCACACCAACCAGCAGAACATAACTCTTCGCTTACGAACACGAACACATTCAGAGAGAAAAGCAAATTTCTGAATTTTCAGGAAGATCTTAGGTCAACTAAAAGTAATACATGTACTCTTGAGCCAAGAAAGGATCACACATCAAGATGGCAAGGAAAGATGGCAACCTACCTTATCACGCGTGTAAGCACACAAATAGCAAACAAAAACAAACAAACAAACGTCACATGCGCACGACGCAAAAAAATCGAACGAAGAGATTGACAATAAATCAGTCAAAGGAATTGAAAAAATGATCGAACAATTGACCTAGACACCAAGGATTAGAGCGGCAGTGTCAACGAGCAATCAGGAACAACAATCAAGGGAAGAGAGAGAGGGATAGACGCAATAACAACACAGCTGACTATGGACCACAGCAACTGGCAGCAGTAAGCATGTCTTAAAAGTACACATAATGTTCCAACCCCACAACATACATTGAAAACAAACAGTACTGCCAATTCATAGAATCACAACACAACAATGTCACCAAAGATAATGTCGTACTATTTCAACCTGTGTTTTATATCTTTGAAGTACAAAGGACGAAACAGTTCTGTCCGCAGATTGAGTATCTTTTAAGTACCGTATTTTCCGGAGTATAAGCCGCACCCCCCCCCCCCCCCCATTTTTGTCACGAAATACACACATCTACCCTATTTATCACCATTATTTTGATCATCGGAGTATAAGCCCCAACCCCCTTTTTTTGGGTGAATTTTGAGTGTTCAATGTGCGGCTTATACTCCGGAAAATACAGTATGTACATTAGCATACAGGTGAAATTAGGCACTGTTCTGTGTGTCACTCAGAGTCACCATCGCTCGATTTCCCGGAGCTCCGTTCACCAGAACTGACAAGTTTATCGAAGTTCAAGTACACACTCCACTGGTGTAACTAGCAAGGAGACCTCTGGTCGGTCGAGTTGCTCCGCCGAGTACATCGGCACTCGTCCCTACATCCCCATTTGTCTTGTTTTATGTTGTCATCCACATGTATCCCAGTAGGGATGTGTTCATAGTAAACTTCATAGTACAAAAAGAAAGAAAAAAAAACTAGAAAATGGTGGTGGGTATATGGCTACATATGGATTGTGTCGGGTCATAGGCTGTGGATTTCACACCAGTGTGATGCATGTACATTGGACCACTTTTTATTTTGTATATGTTTTCATAATCGGAGTATAGTGCCTTCCTGCGATTTTGAGCCTGAAATAGTAGCACATCTAAAGCGCACTATGCACCAGAAAATGCAGTAAGACAGACATGCATGTACACATGAGGTGCACACCAAATGCACGTACATACAACCTCTCTCTCTCTCTCTCTCTCTCTCTCTCTCTCTCTCTCTCTCTCTCTCTCTCTCTCTCTCTCTCTCTCTCTCTCTCTCTCTCTCTCTCTCTGCCATTTACTAGCTCTTCCTCTCTTCATCGTTTAACCAATGCCTGCACGTCATTGTTCTCCCTTCTTCTTTCATGTGTTGTTTGTAGAAAGTCTACTGTGGTCATGAGTACACGGTGAGCAATCTGAAGTATGCAGTGAACGTCGAACCGGACAATCAGACATTGAGGCAGAAACTCGCCGAAGCTGAGGTAAATGTGTGAACCCTTTGTTGAGGAGAGATGCTGTGTTGACTTCACGTGGGGCTGACGTACATGGTCATAATTATATTCTTGCTCTTAGAGAGATGGTGGCTATCATTCGGTGCACTCTCGACCAGAACTGAACTACAGTCCATTCACATATTCAGGCTCCCAGAGTAGTTGACCAAGGACAGTCTCTTGCACATGCTTGTAAATTGTAATCAGAAGTATGGCCCTTTGCTCAGTATGAATTTTTCTAATATGATCAGTCACCACCGCTACACAATGGTCGTTGACGCTGCAAGAGGCTGGAGGGTCATTGTCAATACCAACTATATACCGGAATTGTCCTCGCTGTGGTGATGGTGATGCGAGTGCAGAGTTTTGAATTTGCAGCGTCAATGACCTTTGTGTAATGGTGGTGACTGATCATAATATTATTATGAATTGGCTACAGTGGAGCCTCCGTGTTCTAAAAAATGAATGTTTCTAATACTTATAATCGTATTGTGTTGCTCTGTGTTGTATTCACAGGCCGACAGGGCAGCAGGAAGACCCACCGTGCCCTCGGATATCCGTGGAGAGCTAGCATTCAACCCATTCATGAGAACTAAGTAAGACAGAGTCGCTGAGTTTTAGAAGACCTATGAAAATTCAGTATGGCTGCTGCAGACATCACCACGCAACACGACAACTTGTTAGAGGTTTAGGCTGCTCGTAATTTTTTTTGTTGATAGCACCTTGTTGAGCGGGGTCCTCTTTTCGTTCCCATTGTAAACGTTTGGGTTTTTGTCCCGTGTCTGTGCCTGTGCGTGATTTGAAACAGTGTTGCAAGCGTACAGAAACACACCGGACGCAGTAACCCCGTCGACACGATGGCAGCGTTGCGCGAAGAGAAGAACAGCTTCAAGCCGAAGCTCTGAGCAACAGACGGCGGCGATATCGACAGGTAGCAGCAATCAATGCCCGGTGACAATACAGCTCACTGAGTGGACACTGAGTGGCATGATCACTGTTATCTATTGAGGTGTTGTGCGATTATGTCATCATTTGAGATGTGTATTATGGAGGGCAATACTGTGCTGTTGCAGCACAACTACATGAGCACTGGTTTGCCACTCGCACTCGGACCATAGAATCATGTGATGATGCCGTTTTCATGATGTTTGTAACAACGTGCACGTATCCTGTGTGAGTGTGAGCTCTGCCGCATTGGTTTACTGCACTAGTGCAACTTGTCAAATAGATGTACACGCTCAGCTGAGACTGAAACAGGGCAAATGAAATGTAGCAGTGCTGCGGCGTCTCTCCATTTGCAAACGCAGCTGTGATATTCTAGCGACATGTGCACTGCTCTCGATTTCTTTGATCCAACTCTCAATCGCGCAGGCGCGTGCATACACCCCAGCCTGGGTGCACACGTTGATTAGTATTTTTTAGTACTAGTATTTTCTCTTCATCCCAGCTGCATTGTCACTTATTCTCAATCCGCTGCTTATCCATTGCAGCAGCCCCATGCATTGAACTCTCTGCGGCTGATTTTAGATTATCCTTTCTGAGCCACTAGTTGAATTGAATTTTTGTTGAATTGAATTTGCTATCTAGACCGTAGCGGTAGATGCTTGGTGCTGATATAGCGTGCCTATTTCGAATGAACAGTGACAGAGTGTTGCAGCACACAGTGAATGCTCCATACTGAAATAATGCTACATGTACTAATACTGCTCGATGAAATCCAGTCGCGTCACTCAAGTGTGTGCCAGGCGTTGCGCAGCCCTACACCTGCGAACACTGGTCTGCGAAATGGTGCAAGGCGCAAACTTGAGTGACGACGCGACTGGATTTCATTGGGCAGGACTGTACATGCACAGCACAGTTGCCATGGTCACATGACCCAATACAGTCACTGGCTTTCTCCCAGGCAAACATGCAATCAGACTGAAGAACTGAACTACCTTCATTGTTCAAACTATCTCATCACAAACACCATTTCCAAACGCTTCAACTACTACTACTAGTACACATAAAGTACTTTCATCACCTTCTCGTCGGGTGCATGGATACTGAGGCAGAAAAGAAAAGAACACGTACTTTTAAGTTCAAGACCAGTAATTCACTAATAAATAATGTGAACTATTCGCAAGTCACTGGCATCATGGTTAGGCTGTAGCTCATCTAGGAGGATGGTGCAGTGGACCGTATCAAATGCCCGGCTCATGCCCCGCGTCCAATCAGATGCCTTGGATGTGGATCGTCTTGAAGTTGTGAAAGCGCTGACTCACAGCGCTCAACCTCAACCAGTAGGCAGTTGTGACACCACACAATGTCGCTAGCACTACAGTGGAGGCTACATGCACTTAAGTCTTTGTAAAGCTGAGACACTATTCGATCTGAGGTTGAATGCGTTTTAATACAGTAAGTAGTGATGGGACCTTCCGGAGCACCGAGAGTATGCCGATTGGTCAAGTCCTGGTAAGGGCCCGGAGTGGCTTTCCCGATTTCTGTTGCAGGAGGATGAGCGTATACCTCTTCCGATGAGAAGATTGTTATCCTCCAGTGCCATCATGATTGAATCATACAGTACGCAAGCAATCTACTGTGCGGCATATGATGGGCACTACTCTAGCATCTCGGGCATCATTCCAATCCAGCATTGCGAGCTTCGGATAGGATTCACAGCTATGAACCTTGCACATGCCCTTTGTTGTACAGGCCCTTCGTTATTACATGTCTTTCGTTGTACAATCATGTACTAGTGCCGGGTAAACGCCGCATGATTATGCTGAGAATCGACGACAGGCAGTTCTGGAAAAGAGGAAACTGAGCCTCCGGATCAAGGGGAAACTGAGCCCCGATCGTGCTGGGAAACTGATCCCCGACTGCCCGGGAAAACTGAGCCTCCTCTGAGTCGCGGTGGTCTGAGCCACAAGCTGCAGTTTGGGATAACAACATCCTGGTTTAAGTCTTTCGTTGGTATTGAAGATAATTCATACCGGTAGTACAGTACAAGACAAACAATTTGAAACTCCCGGGGTTATCTGTATCTACTAATGAGGCCTCGAGGGTAGAACTGTAGCCTGATTTACCAGGAAACCAACGTCGACACATCAACACCACCACCAAACAACGACCAGCTACGAGGTTGACTGGAGCCGCCAAGGGCAGGAGCCTCCTAAGAAATATTGGTTCATAATGCCTGGCCTTCCTTGTGTCACGACACTGAAAGTTGAACTCTTCATTGAGAGAAAAAGAAGAAAAAGGAAGAAAAAAGCAAGAAAAAAGTAGGTGTCAATCGAGAGTCCAGATCAAGGAGCCGTTCCCTCACGTTTCATGATCCAGACAATCCACTAACACGAAATCCACGTTGAAACCCGACTGCGGACACACCAAAGAGGGAGGAACTGGTTCGGATCCTAAGCCATAGCTGGACCAGACCTTGTGTGTCGCCGACGAGACTCGAACCCACGACCTACAAGTAGGTCGCAAGCTCGGCAATCCCAAGACTTAACCGAAGATGCTATCTGGGATATCTATATCTATATGGAACATCACGTTATATGAACCCTTGACCTTTGATCTGACCCTACCCTACACGTACGTATACATCCCTCATACATGCCCAAAGTATACAGGTCAGATCAAAGGTCAAGGGTTCATATGACATGATGTTCCATATAGATACAGGTATCCCGGATAGCATCTTCGGTTAAGTCTTGGGATTGCCGAGCTTGCGACCTACTTGTAGGTCGTGGGTTCGAGTCTCGTCGGCGACACACAAGGTCTGGTCCAGTTATGGCTTAGGATCCGAACCAGTTCCTCCCTCTTTGGTGTGTCCGCAGTCGGGTTTCAACGTGGATTTCGTGCTAGTGGATTGTCTGGATCATGAAACGTGAGGGAACGGCTCCTTGATCCGGTCTCTCCATTGGCACCTACTTTTTTTTTCTTCCTTTTTTCTTTTTCCTTCCCGGCCAGGTCTCTCTTGATCGAGGAGGAAGTAGTTTTAAAAATGCGGTACAGTTTGTTGTAGTGTGGTTAGTTAGATAGGGAAGGACATCCTCTCTTCTCCTTGCGGGGTCCGTGCCCCTCGCTCTTGTGTGGCACATCGGCGAAGCGCGGGATGGCTGTCGGCTGCCGGTGGGTACCCATGCGTCGTTCGTCACTGGCCCTGGAAAACACGAAGGACGTTCCTCTATCCGAATAGAACTCCAACATACATGTACATTGTTGGTATATACAGAAGCCTTGCTTGGTAGTTTAACATGTTTTTCGATTTTGACAGCATGTTACAAGGCGAGGACGCGTAGTGCTAACCATAAACCGGTTGGCAGAGTCCCGGTCTTGCGACCATTTGAACCGTATTGGGAAAACCCAGGTTCGGACATAATGTAGAGTAACGAGGGTCCGAACCTGGGTTTTCCCAATACGGTTCAAATGGTCGCAAGACCGGGACTCTGCCAACCGGTTTATGGTTGTAGTCAGGAGCACTACGCGTCCTCGCCTTGTAACATGCTGTCAAAATCGAAAAACATGTACATTGTTCCAGAACAGCTACTGATGATACTATGGAGTACATGACTGTAGTGAGGGACTGATGTTCACTGTGCACAACACCGACTCAAAACTCTCTTTCACCCAGCCTACGTAGTAGAAAGAAGAGTCGATGGTGAGCAGACTGAAAAATCGTGGAAATCAATCACGGCCGGCCTAGTGGAGAGTTCCCGTAGAGATTTTGAAGGATCATCACCGCCATACCAGTCCATAGACATCTCTCTGGCTGCCGTGGTGAAAAGGAACCACCAAGAGGAAGTGGATTATGGTAAACGAACGGCAAACTTTTCGTCGACGGGACACGATTATACATCTCGTCTTCAGCACCCGAAGGCATAAGAACACAGAGCGAAAAATGAAGAAAAAAGGAAGAAAAAAAGCAGGTGTCAATCGAGAGTCCAGATCAAGGAGCCGTTCCCTCACGTTTCATGATCCAGACAATCCAGACAATCCACTAACACGAAATCCACGTTGAAACCCGACTGCGGACACACCAAAGAGGGAGGAACTGGTTCGGATCCTAAGCCATAACTGGACCAGACCTTGTGTGTCGCCGACGAGACTCGAACCCACGACCTACAAGCAGGTCGCAAGCTCGGCAATCCCAAAATTAACCGAAGATGCTATCTGGGATGCCTATATCTATATGGAACATTAGGCTATATGAACCCTTGACCTTTGATCTGACCTCTGCCCTACATGTCCGTGTACATCCCAATCAGGCCTCGCTCGAGCTCTCGGACATGCCCGAATTCGCGAAGTATAGACAGGTCAGATCAAAGGTCAAAGCGTCCTGATTGATGCCTAGCCTTGGCCTTCGATCGTGGAATAAAATAATGCTTCATCTACTGGCGATTATCCACTTCCTAGTTCCTGATGCCAGTATTCCTTGGTGTTTCCTTTTCACCACATCAGTCTGTCGATGGACCAGTGATGTTTGTTTGTTGCTTGTTTGTTTTGATTTGCAAATTCAAACGGGCATAGAACCCAGTAACATGAAAGCGAATATGAAAAATATAATGAAAATGAGAATTAAAATACTTAGATCTTCAGCGTAGAGTCAGCGGTACATCAGAGGGAGATCGGGTACAACAGAGAGAGATGTGGTGGTGATTCTTCCAGACCTCTTCGGTGACAGTGATGGAAAGTAGATAATGCGGCTGGGCGGCATGGATCAACATGGGCAACCGAGTGGAAATCGACGAATCAAAATATCTTTGAATTATTTTTCCATAGGAAATACCATCGGGCGGTAATGGCGCGAAGGCTACTGAGTGTTTGGTGCCGTAGATCCTGCCTGAGTGGATCCTGCATGAGTGGATCCTGCCTGAGTGGATCCTGCCTGAGTGGATCCTGCCTGAGTGGATCCTGCCTGAGTGGATCCTGCCTGAGTGGATCCTGCCTGAGTGGATCCTGCCTGAGTGGATCCTGCCTGAGTGGATCCTGCCTGGGACTCAGATATCATCTTATGGCTCGGGAGCGTATGGCAACTTGGAGACCTGAATTGCAGATGGTGGGATTTCTGACTATGGTGTTGCCATACAATACATCTAATGTACATGTACAGTGCTGGCACTGAAATCCGACCCCTGAGCGGTGCGTTCACATTCTAGCGGTCTCTATTTCGTAGTTTTTCAACCCCGTGTTGGGTCTTTGCAATGTGAGCGCACCACCGCTCAGGGGTCGGATTTCAGTTGCCAGCACTGTATGACCAGATAACTTTGTTGACCCTGTCCAGGGTCCACCCAGAAATACACACTAACAATGTGGGGAACGTGTGCGGATGAGGGCCAAATGGCCCCTACGGATAATTATGGAACGTCTTCGGCATTGCTACCATCATACGTCACCTAGTACCTGGTTTGTGATTTGTCTGTAGGAAGGGGGGGGGGGGGCTGCGAAGGAAGAAAGGCCATTTCAATATCTTTGTCCGCATTGAGATGGGCATTCGTCACCAGTACCAGGTATAACAAATAAATAAACAATCTCAGGACAAGTGCCAATTTCTTGCTTTTCCCTTTGTGATGTGGGACCAGTTTGGGATTGGTTAGTGGGTCT